AGTGGGGAGGTATAGTGTCCAGGGATCCATATTTGTCCTTGGCAGGGACCCTTCTGTTAGATCTTATCACAACTCTTTTGTCTGATAAGGTCACTCAGCCAGTCAGAATGTCCCCAGAGACAGACCCCTCCTTAAAATTCTTCCTCCCCCTGACCCCTACCCAGTAAACTCTTACTGAGTCTGTTGGGCTCTGCCTAGCTGCCTCCTCCTCTGAGAAGTCTTCTTTGATTCTCAGCCCTGTCAGCCTGAACCACAGGTGCCTCTAAGTCACAGTGACTGAGAGCCACACAGAGGCACAAAACAGACTCTCAACTCTGACATCACCAGCATCTTTGGGTAACTTTGTAATAAGTGAATGAAAGAAAAATTGTATCAACCAACGAACTGCTTTAGTGCCCTGCTGTGGAGAGCAGTGATGTGGGCAAGAGTGGAGTGGACTCTCTCGGCCGATGCCACAGTAACCTCGCACACTGCCGGTGTAAGTGGCACCTCTAGAAGAGGCCACAGAACCATCCAGAACATCAGTGCTCGTACTGGGTGCTGGAGCTCAGAGGACACAGGCTTTGCGCTCCGACTCACTCGGCTCAAATCTTAGTTTTGCAACTACCAGCTATGCACCTCAGGAAGCACGTTAACCTCTCTGATCCTCTGTACTAAGATGAGAACAAGTCCCCGCCCCCTAGCACTGAGGTAATAGGAAATGCCTAGCATAGCACGGGCTTAAATAACTTCATTCACTTCCCTGGACATCAGGAATCCTCGTTGCTCTCCCTAACATCCAGGGGTGTTCACATCCGCACTTGTACCAAGAGCCTAGGCCAAGGTGTCTCCTGACTGGCTGTGAATTCTTGGTGTCCATGCTCCCAGGGCCAGCTCCAACCAATTCCCTGTGACACTGGGCCAGAAGAAACTCACGGGTACCCACATACTCGTGTGAGAATCCACACTGAAACGTGGCAGGTGGGGCCAACCCATCAGAAGCAGCAGGGCCGGCACCACTGAGCCCCAGCAAGAGCAGGGGCCAGCAGCGCCCAGCCACTCTGGATCAGGGACACATTTGGTGTCCCCACAGCAGGTGCATACTGTTTATGCTGTTTCCCAGGCAGCAGAATCCAGCAGCCTTGGCCAAGAGTTCTAATTTTAAACATTGGGTTCTGGGCAGGCAGAATTAAAGGTCAGATCGTGGAGGGCTACCCAAAAGATGCACACACTAAAAAAAGATTACCCTCAGTGCAAAAAGACACCCTGCCTCTGTCCCAGTGTCTACACTGCCTGATGTGACAAGGACACACCTGTCAGGACCACCTAAGAGGTCGCAGGAGGCATTACCAAGGCCAGTCCTCCCCTATCCTAAGCCAGGAGTCTCCAAACTGCTGGACTCCAAGAATCCCACTCGGGAACCCCAGTGACCGACTCCACACAGGGGATTCCTGAGGCTCCATGTAGGGTGTCTTAATGCTTTCATTAATTGAGCTTGTTTCTATCGGAGTCCTAATCGGGTCCCTTGCAGTGAATCTGTTGCACACGCTAGCTCCTTCCTGTAGTCCCACATCTGATGTCTTCTAACAGCGGCACATTTTGGTGGTGTCATTTGCCAAGGTCCTTTGTCTGGTGGCTCCTGCCTAGCGTTGGGAAATAGAAGGGTCTGGTGGATTCAGGTGTGATATGACAAACCCCCACCTTGTGAGAAGTATCTATGGTGTGAGATGGCTGTCCAGTGTTCCCTTCAAGTCATGGATTAGTAGAACAATGGGACTTGTATTTATCCATCCTTTCACATTTCTAAGCAGGACTGAGTCTAACAGAACTCCTGTCGCTCGCCATCCGGTTGCGTGTAAGCACTGTTCACACAACTGAAGAGGCACAGTAACTTAGGATCCCCCTTTATTTGGTGGCACACTCCTGTGTCTGAGCAGAAGCCTAGGCACAAGCATTCCAACGCACAGACCAGGGCCACAGATCTCTGTCCTGGACTCCACCCTCACCCTGGCCACAGTCCCTCAACGCAGCCCCCACCGCGGGGCTGGTGACTATTGTTCTGCGGCTTCCGACTCAAGACCGGTGGGAACTGGAGGCGCCTGCCCTTCCTGCTCGAGGCCGGAGGCCCTCGGGAGGAGCCTTGTTCCAGCGCTGGGCTGCATGTCCGGCTGCCAGATCGCCACTGCCCGGGGCCAATGGGGGGCGCTGGGCTGGAGGACGTGCCCCTCAGCAGCTAAGGAGTCTGAAAGCCACCTGATGGGGCCACCTCAGGACAACTGCAGGGGTTGAATCTCACGGCCAGATGCTCGCTTGCTATCCCCAAAGATGCAGGCATGACATCTCTTAGCAACAAGCCGGTCGAATAGGTACAAAGTGACTGAATTCAGACTTACCAAGGATGGAGGGCATTATTTTTCCACAGAGCAAAATGTGGCCCAGTGCCGGAACAGCCCAACAAGCTGCAAGCTTTCCCACTGCACAGCCATGGGTAAGCTGTAGCCTCTTTTTCCCTCAGTTTCCTTGTGAGATGGAGACAGCACCCACTACACCAGTTGTGAACATTGGAGAAAGCACAGATAGTTCAATCTTTGCTTTTCTAAAGTAACTTCTAAGACCCAGAGGGGCTGAAAGAGAGCCAGGGTGACCAGCCAACCCTACAGGGCTTCCTGGATGTGGATCTTTGGTACTAAACCCAGGACAGTCCTGGCACACTCATGAGATGGTTTCCATCACCAAACTGATCTGGTAAAGCCCCAGTTTTATGTTCAAGGCTATGGTTTCTCCCAGACACCCTTGGGTCTTTGATCCTGGTCTCTGCACCATGTCCTTGCTTAGCCACAGGAAGACCAGACGTTCTTAACATACAAAAATTTTCCACATCCTTCAGGGCAATCTTTTGATGCCAGAAATAGTCATCAGGATTTGGGAGTTAGCCCAGGCCACTAAAAATAGCTCCACTGCCCCCTGGAAGGCCTGTCCATTTGGGCCCCAGATGCCCTGAACCTAACGAGATGCCTGTCCCCAACCAGCACCTTACATGAAAAAAGAGTGCTGCTGGACTAGCTGGTTGGGTACTCACGAAGGTCAGCACCACTCAGCTTCCTCAGACCTGGACACGCCCTTCTCTCCACCCAGGAGAGCCCGACACAGTCACACTAGTTCATGCCTGGACAGTCACAAGGCAGCCTTACCCTCCTTGCCCAGCCGCACCGCCACAGACCTTAACACACTTTCATACATACATAACAGCACAGATGCACACCCACGCCGAGTGTCACGGAACCCAGCTCTCCTGTCTACATTCCCAAGGCTGTGTCTTCACTCTTGTTCCTCTCCAGTTTTCACCTGGCCTTCAAGAAGATGGCCTTTTTAATTAACTTACTTTTTATGTGTATATATGAGTGCCTGTGTGAATTTATGCAGACCGTATGCACGTAGGTGTCCTCCAATGCCAGGAGAAGGCATTGTATCTTCTGGAGCTCAAGTACAGGCAGTTTGTGAACTACCTAATGTGGGTGCTGGGCATCTGTCCCATATCTCCTGCAAGAACAGTCAGTGTTCTTAACTGCTGAGACATCTCTCCAGTCCCATGGTCTGTTTTTTTTCTGGCATCCAGGATTGAACCTAGAACCTCAAGTATGCTAAGTATGTGCTATACCACTAACCTATGTCCCCAACCCTCTTTTTACATTTTATTTTGAGACAGTCTCACTATTTTACCCCAGGCTGCCCAGAGCAGTGACTCTGGGGCTCCAGGTCACCTTGTGCTGTCCCTGGTCAGCAGGGTCTCTGCCACTGGAGGGGCTACAGCTTTTCCTGTGACCACCCTCTGGAGCTGGAGCCAGAGCCCTTATACTCCCTAGGGCAACCTGGTCTCTGAGAAGGACAAGGCAGAAGGGGACAGCTCTGGAAGGAAGTCACCTAGGAGCCAGGAGAGAGGATGTGGGTCTATTGTGCATTCGTCCCAGTTCACGGAAGTGGACACTAACATGAACTGTGGCCATTGGCAACAGATTCACCAATCTGTCAGACAGAGATGGTGGCAGCCTCTTTGGACCTTGGGACAGATGGGAACTCTCTGCACCCTCTTCAGTTTTAGTCTGAACCTAAAAGCACTCTAAAGACTAAGTCCATGGAATTAGTTTTAAAGATCTACTCAGACAAAGTGGTTAAACTAAAAAGTCAACTGTGGTGGAAAGAGTGAGGTGAGAGTGATTGCCTTAACAGAAAACTCTAGAAAACACTGCTTGGCTAAGGTGGGTGGGAAGGGTACAGAAAATGAGTGAGTGTGTGTGTGTGTGTGTGTGTGTGTGTGTGTGTGTGTGTGTGTGTGTGTACATCCTGTATTTAAAACATGTTGGCAGGAATAATACAATCTGTACTTTTCAGACTTCAAAAATATGTAAAACCAAGGCCTGGAAAGATGGCTCAGTGGCTAAGAGCACTTACTGCTCTTGCAGAGGACCAGAGTTCTGCTCCCACATCCACATCAGGAGTCTCAGGACTCCTGTGACTCCACATCCAGTGAGATGTGACACCTGTGGACACCTGCACTTTCCTATACACACCCACACACAAACACATATACAGTTATGAGCCAATTTTATTAAAAATAATAAACCCAAGTGTGGTGGTGCACCCCTTTAATCCAAGCACTCAGGAGACAGAGGCAGGCAGATCTCCGAGTTTGAGGCCAGCCTGGTCTACAGAGTGAGTTCCAGGACAGCCAGGGTTACACAGAGAAACCCTGTCTCCAAAAAAAAATTTCAAAATAAAATAATAAAAAGGTATCTTAAAAATACGTAAAACTTAGCCGGGCGGTGGTGGCTCATGCCTTTAATCCCAGCACTCGGGAGGCAGAGGCAGGCGGATCTCTGTGAGTTCGAGGCCAGCCTGGGCTACCAAGTG